AGGACAGAGGAGAGGACAGAGGAGAGGAGAGGACAGAGGAGAGGACAGAGGAGAGGACAGAGGAGGAGGAGGACAGAGGAGGAGAGGACAGAGGGGAGGAGGACAGAGGGGAGGAGGACAGAGGGGAGGAGGAGAGCACAGAGGAGGAGAGGACAGAGGAGGAGAGGACAGAGGAGAGGACAGAGGAGGAGGAGGACAGAGTAGTTAGCGTCGTTAGCAGTCTGTGAAGTGTTTTACTTCTTCTGTGGTGTCAGACTCACGTGGTCGACTCTCCGTAGAATCTCAATCTCCGTCTTTGCGTTTCGTGTCGCCATCTGTGATTGGACAAAGACAAACTGATCACATGATCACCCTCCCAGCCTGCCATTGGTCCAGAGGAACATGAGCGACTCTGATGTTCGGACGCCATGTTTGTAGTTTTCTGCAGTTGTTTTTACCTGCTAACGTCTGCTACATCCGTCACAGGAAGGAAAGAAGGAAACGAGGGAAGGGAGGAAGGACGAAAGAAGGAGAGCTCTCAGCCAATCAGAGAGCAGATGACATCACTCACCCCTTCAGACTGAAAGTTCTTCTTGTTTATTATTTTCACCGCTAACTTCCTGCAGGTCGACCTCTCGAAGGCCAGTTTGACCTCACCGCACACGCCTCTGAAACACACGCAGCGCTCTGCTGTTAGGACGGTTCAGGGCGCAGGAAGTGACATCACAGCGGTATGAACGGCGTCAGACTCACGTGCCGATCCGCCGAGTCAGCAGATATTTCTCCTGCAGCTCTTTAGGTAAACTGGACTGATCGTCGGACATCAGATCAATGAAGACAAAGACTGCAGACAGACAGGCAGACAGACAGGTGAGGTGAGACTGGTGCCAACAGGGACCAACAGTCTCAGTATTGATCAGCCTGTCTCACCTTTGTTGCGTTGTTCAGACAGAGCGAGCACGGCGTTATTGATCAGAGGAAGCTTCCTATCTTTACCGATCAGAATCCCGTCCACAAACGTCCCGTTGTTACTGTAGTCCTCCACGAAGACCTCGCTGCCCTCCTGACACACAGACAGGTACATACACAGACAGGTACATACACAGACAGGCTGCACTGGGTCTGCAGTCACTGATAATCACTCATCAATAATCAATAAACAGGAAGTGATCTCACTCTGTAGATCCTGAAGTGTTTCTTGCTGTAGATTCGGAACTTTTTAGATCCTCTGTGATCCGGATCATCCAGGACATAGTTACACTTAGAGTCCCGTCCGAACAGGTACTGGTCCTCGATGCAGTCTGTAAACAAACAATAACAATCAATCAATAACAATCAATCAATAACTAACCACTGCTTTTAGGCTGGTCCAGGTTCTATTAGAACGAGGCCTCAGTGTCCGGGAACCTGGACTCACCGTGGCTCCTGAAGCCTCGGGCCATGGGCAGCAGGCGGCCCCAGGGTTGTGGCCCGGGCTCCTCGGGGACCGACGGCAGGGTGACGGGGATGGTGTCCACGCTGCTCAGCGTCCCCGAACCGCTGGACGACTGACTGGCTGAGGTCGGCCCGCTGGAGGAACTAGAACCGGGCTGGGACTGGGACTGGGACTGGGACTTAGACTGGGACGGGGACTGGGTGGACTGGGTGGACTGGGCCTGTGATATTCACACACTACACACACCACACACACACACAGAGAGAACAACACTTACATACACATAGTTACTGTGTAATATATTACTATAGTACTGTAGTAATATATTACAGTAATACTGTGGTCTTAGTTTACCTTGGTCAGAGATGTGGTTGCCACTTGGAAGGAAACATGGTGAACTCTCCCCGGTGACGTCTGCTCTGGTGATCGATACGACCACAGTTCTCGTGAAGGGAGGGTAACCCCCAGACTGAGAGACAGACAGGAGAGAAGACAGACAGATAGAGAGACAGACACGTATAGAGAGACATGATCAGCAGAGAGAAGAATCCAGTCAGTAAGACAGAAGCTAAATTAAAGGCCTTTTGATTCTGTCTCACTGCACATGGGAAGAGAGGGGGGGTGAGACAGGTGTGAGGGGGGTGCAGACAAGGTGTGACGGCCTACAGACGAAGAGCAGGACTCGAGGCTCCAGGCGTCCTACGGCGAGACCGTATCCTGTGGGTGGAGGGCGTGAGTGAAGACCTCAGGAGCCAGGTTAGGAGGAGTCCACACAGAGTCCTCATCTGGCCTCGTCAGGATCCTGGACAGGTTTAAAGTCGTCACTAAACAACACACAACACACACACGCTGTTCAGCGAGGATGAGATGATGAAGATGATGATTGATGAAGATGTGTGTGTACATTGATGAGACAGAAGTCGTCTTGTGAGGACAGCAGGATGTTGTCTGGTTTCAGGTTCTGTGGTGATCCCGTTACTGGAGGTACTGCCACACCACACACACACACACACACACACACAAACACACCACAGTCAATACAGGTACGATACCTGTTACCATAGGCAACGGTGTCTCAGTCTCCCACCTGGAACGCTTCTCAACATCTGGTAGATAAGTTTGGCAAGACTATCGAGCTGATGCTGAGAATATTACTCTCGTTAAACAGCTCCCCCCCTCCATCCTGAGAGACAGACCACAGACAGACAGACAGATGAGAGAGAGACAAGACAGAGGGAGAGACAGACGAGGGAAGACAGAAGAGAGAGAGAGAGAGAGCAGACAGACAGAGAGAGAGAGAAGACATGACAGAGGAGAGAGAGATCAGACAGACGAGGGAGAAGACAAGACAGATTCATGAGAAGACGACGAAGACAGAGAGAGAGAGACAGACAGACAGAAGAGAGAGACAGACAGACAGAAGATGAGAGGAGACAGAAAGAGGAGAGACAGACCAGAGAGAGAGGAGAGAAGACAGCAGACAGAGAGAGAGAGACAGACAGACAGAGAGAGAGAAGACAGACGAGGGAGAGAGAGAGAGACAGACAGCAGAGAGACAGACAGACGAGGGAGAGAGAGAAGATAGACCAGAGAGAAGAGAGAGACAGAAAGAGGGAAGAAGACAGACGAGAGACAGACAGACGAGGGAGGAGAGAATAGACAGAGGGAGAGACAGACAGACAGAGGGAGAGAAGAGAGCCAGAGACAGAGAGAGAGAGAGAAAGACAAGAGGGAGAGACAGACAGACAGACGGGGAAGAGAGAGAGACAGACAGACAGAAAGAGAGAGAGAGGACAGACAGACAGAGAGAAGAAGACAGACAGAGAGGAGAGAGACAAAGACAGACAGAGAGACTGAACTGTCAGAAGTTATAGGAAGGCGGTTTGATTGACTGTAAATATGCCATAAGGCTTTTCTATTGATTATTGAGAAGTTATGATAATTTTGGACTGCCACTTTTTTTTGATACTGAAAAAAATATATATTTTTAATATATTATATATACTTTAATATATACTTTTATATGTTTTTATTATATAAATATATATTTTTATATATTTTATATATATTTAAATATATATTTATATGTTTTTTATTATTTAAATATATATTTTATATGTTTTTATATATTAAATAAAATTATATTCTGTATCTTGCTGAAGGATGATTTAAATAATGTTAAATAATAAAGTTTAAATCACAGCTCAACACGATGTAGTAACTGTCCCTCCGTCTCAGAGAAGTCCTCCGTCCTTATGAGACGAACGGCTGCAGGAGAGACAGAGGAGGAGGAGAGGACAGAGGAGGAGGGAGGACAGAGGAGGAGGAAGGACAGAAGGGAGGAGGACAGAGGAAGGAGAGGACAGGGAGAGGCGAGGACAGAGGAGAGAGGACAGAGGAGGAAGGGACAGAGGGCAGGAGGAAGGCAGAGGAGGAGAACAGAGGAGGAGGAAGAGGAGGAGGAAGACAAGAGAAGGAGGCAGAGAGGTAGGAAGGACCAGAGGAGGAGGAGGAGCAGAGGAGGAGAACAAGGAGAGGACAGAGGAGAGGAGGAAAGACAGAGGAGGAAGGACAGAGGAGAGAAGAGGGCAGAGGAGGAGGAGGACAGAGAGAGGCAGAGGAAGGAGAGGACAGAGGAGAGGCAGAGAGGAGGAGGAGAGCACAGAGGGAGGAAGAGAAGGAGGAGAGGAAGAGGAGAGGACAGAGGAGAGGAGAGGAAAGAGGAGAGGACAGAGGAGAGACAGGGAGGAGAGGACAGAGGAGAAGAGGACAGAGGGAGAGGACAGAGGGGAGGAGGACAGAGGGGTAGGAGGAGAGCACAGAGGAGGAGAGGACAGAGGAGGGAGGACAGGGAGAGGGACAGAGGAGGAGGAGGACAGAGTAGTTAGCGTCGTTAGCAGTCTGTGAAGTGTTTTTACTTGTCTTCTGTGGTGTCAGACTCACGTGGTCGTCTCTCCGTAGAATCTCAATCTCCGTCTTTGCGTTTCGTGTCGACATCTGTGATTGGAAAAGACAAACTGATCATGATCACCCTCCCAGCCTGAAGAGAGCGACTCTGATGTTCGGAGCCTGTTTGTAGTATTTTCTGCAGTTTTTTTACCTGCTAACGTCTGCTACATACGTCCAGGAAGGAAAGAAGGAAACGAGGGAGGAGGAGACGAAAGGAAGGAGAGCTCTCAGCAATCAAGAGAGCAGATGACACATCACCCTTCCAGACTGAAAGGTTCTTCTTGTTTATTATTTTAACCGCTACTTCCTGCAGGTCTACCTCTCGAAGCCAGTTTGACTCACAGCAACGCCTCTCGAACACACGCAGGCTCTGCTGTTAGGAGGTTCAGGCGCAGGAAGTGATCAATGCGGTAATGAACGGAGTTCAGACTCACGTGACGATCCGCGAGTCAGCAAGATATTTCCTCTGCAGCTCTTTAGGTAAACTGGACTGATCGTCGACATAGATCATGAGACAAAGCTGCAGAAGCAGGCAGACAGACAGGTGAGGTGAGACTGGTGCCAACAGGGACCACAGTCTCGTATTGATCAGCCTGTCTCACTTTGTTGCGTTCGTTCAGCAAGAGCAGCACGGCGTTATTGATCAGAGAAGCTTCCTATCTTTACTGAATCAGAATCCCGTCCACAAACGTCCGTTGTTTATGTAGTCCTCCCGAAGACCTCGCCTGCCCTCCTGACAGCACAGAAAGGCAACACACACGACAGGCAACAACACAGACAGGCTGCACTGGGTCATGCAGTCAACTGATAATCACTCATCAATAAGCATATAACAGGAGTGATCTCCTCGTAGATACATGAAGTGTTTCTTGCTGTAGATTCGAACTTTTTTAGATCCTCTGTGATCCGGATCATCCGGACAAATAAGTTACACTTAGAGTCCCGTCGAACAGGTATGGTCTCGATGCATCTGTAAACTAAACAATAACAATCATCAATTAACAAATCATCAATAACTAACCTGATTTTAGGCTGGTCAAGGGTTCTATTAGAAATGAAGGCCTCAAGTGTCCGGGAACTGGATCACCGTGTTCCTGAAGCTCGGCCATGGGCAGAGGTCGGCCAGGGTTGTGGCCGGCTCCTCGGAGGACCAGACGCAGGGTGACGGGGATGGTGTCACAGCTGCTCAGCGTCCCCGGAACCGATGGACGACTGACTGATGAGGTCGGCCCGCTGGAGGAACAGAACCGCCGGGCTGGACTGGGACCTGGGACTTAGATTGGGACGGGAAATGGGTAGACTGAGTGGACTGGGCTGGTGATGGGAACTGGGTGGATCTGGTGGACTGGCTGTGATGGGGA